TTTATCACTTCCTAGTTATTTTGCTACATTTTACTATCATTTATGTTCTTGAGATTATTTACATCTACACAAATGCAGAAGTGACAAAAATAACATACTACTAATACATCCAATGAGGTGACACAAACTCTGTTGAGATAAGTTGAGATCAAACAAGTAAATCTTACAATGTCTTGGCAAGCTTAGACATGGAGAAATATATGAGGTGTTATTAAGAACTTTATTAAGTTAAATTAACACCTTCCCATAATGTTCAGTGACATGATAGTCTTACATGATGTTTGACTCTGTTTTTAAAAATTTTAGCATCTAAAATGATTAAGACCCTGGTATGGGCCATGCATTGTGTTTTCCATTCATTATCTCATTGATTTATTGCAACAGACATAAAGGCAGATACTATTATTACTGTCATGTGCAGATGAGGAATAGGGGCCAAGAATGGTTAAATGAGTTGTCTAAACGTAACAAAAGTAGAAAGTGATAGACCTGAACTTCAAGGTTCAGGCTGGGTTTGAAGTTTCTACCTTTTAATTCTGAGCCATACTATGTCTTTAGCATAGTATTATTTATGCACAAATGGGGAAAAAATAAGATTTACATCAATATCAATTTCAATAGGCAGAATAGACTTGGTTAAATCCACTTTGCCCATATTCCAAAATTACCCAAACAAATCTGCTTTCAAATTTTTATTGACACAATCACACAGTTGTATTTAATGACAGTTGTTGACTTAGCAGACTGTCTCTTATTTACTTTCATTCTCCTACCCAGCTTTCATCTCAGCCAGAGCCTGTTTAAACTAGGACACGATTTCTTCCTTCAATCCAAGGACCACACAAATAACAAATACATGAAAATGAACAGAACACTTTTCTGGACCCAAAGAGTAACTTAACCTGAATACTAACTTCTTGATGAGAAGACATGATATTACCCTTTTAGGGGCTCTAACGCATGGCCATTGACATACTTTCTGATTGAATAGTTGCTGATTAACATGAAGAATGAGTGAGTGAACAAAGAAGTCAGGTGTATTTGCTCCTTTCTGTTTTAGCAAAATTAGGGCTTGGAACATATTCCTTGACTTGGAACCATATTCATGCTTTTCTAAATCATGAACACAGTATTGTTTTTCAGTATGAGAAAACACTTTGGTATCAGAAATTTTTTTAATCTCCCAAAGAGGATATTCAGTATTGCTCATCACTATTTTTGCATCTTAGAAACTGACACATTTATTCTATTGGTGATAAAATAAAATGTTACTCTTTATGATGATGTCTTAATGTGCAAGAGTTCATTGATGATCTCAGTAATCACTTATTAAGGCTGTGCCATTAATCTCTTGTCACAGAACATACTCTCAGTCCTTCCCTCAGGAATGGCACAGAACCATTCAGGAGTTCCAGCCCAGTCTGTTAGAATATCTGACATTGCCTCTCCTGGGGGCATTCCTTTGGGTTAAGACAGGGTCTCATAGGGACCCAGCTAAAATGTGCATGCTACCTAGCAGTGATCATTTCACCAGTCATTGGCAATCCTGAGGCACAGTACGTAACGTTATATGTTGAGCACTGGTAAGCCCTTCTTCATTTTATGAGAAAACAGGCTTGCAGAGACTCTGTGCTTTTGTTAAAGACACAGAGAAAGACATTGGAAATCAGGAAAGGGAACTTCATTTTAACATTCTCTTCCAGGCTTTAAACGTCCTCATTTCACTTTCATTATACAACCTAGACTGAATGGCATGTTGCCATATAATCTCAACTCCCTTACTCTTCAGTCCTTTAGCTGCACTGACTCTGGAAAGCATCAATCTTGCAATGATCCTACCAGGGGTCCTTGCTGCTCCTATGCTCACATAGTATTGTTGTATAAAGTGCGACAATGGTGCAGATCAGATCAGGGCCACTAGAAAGGCTCAGGCCCCAGCCCCAGCTGGGTCCTCAGCACGACCCGTGTGTCCTACATTCTCCCGTGCCCTCCTCTCATCTTCCCGAAAGGGACCACTTCCTTCCTGTCTTCTAATCAACCCTCATTTGTCACTTCCCCCCAGTGACCTCAAGTCATATTTCACCGAGAAGTTGCCTACTTCACCTTTGGAAGCATGTTAGAAATCCTGACATTTCTGCTCTTTCTTTCTGCTCTTTAACGTCATTAATATTTAAAGCAACCATGTTTCTCCAAACATGCAATGAGTTACTCTTTCAGTGCACAGCAATATAAAACATTCACCCAGGACTTGGTGTCTGGATTTCAGTGACAGCTGTGCCCCCTCTGACTTAGTTATAAGTCGCATCAGTGAATCCTATCCTTGTATACATATGATTTAGAAGAGGAAGTTACTCAAATATATCTAAGGACAAATCACTTAGACTCAAAAATTTCTAGACATGGTAGTAAATGGTATAATTTTAAAAGGGAAATTTGGACAGTAGTTCTTTGTGCATATGAAACAAATTCAATGCTGCTTCCCTGAATTCCTACACTCCTACAGAAATTAAATCACACCATACACTTAATACTCCCTAATAAAGCCTTAAATATTGAAGTAGGTGGTTAAGGCAAGTATTCCATGAAACAAGACTGGCTACTTTCCTATACGCTGGTTTGTGTGGCTACTTTCCTATACGCTGGTTTGTAAAATTCTCTTATGGCATTGAGTTCATCACTGAGGATATCACTAGCCGAATGGTTCAGAAAGAGTGACTTTTCTCTTTGTCTTAGAACATTAGGAATCTCAAATTATAGCAATAAACTTCCTCAAAGTTGATTGTTAATTTTATTGAGAATATAGCATGCTGATAGCTAGAAAAGAATCCCCTGAATGCTCTTGCACTGCCTTAAAATCTGTTCATCTATTTTGTAATACATTATTGCATGAATTCCTTGAATCATTCATGATAAAGGACTTAGGAAAAAGATAATCCATCTAAAAAAACTCTTTATTATTACCTTCTGCCAATAGAGAAAACAGCTATGAGATACTTAGTGTGGAATCTTTCTTTACTTTCAGTAGTATTAAAATAAGAGCATATCGTCATGGGTTTTTTGATATCAATGTATTCCATGAACTTTAACATTTAAAATTTTAGGAACTGTGTTTTCATGCTGATGTTTATTCTCAGAACTGGATGTTTGCTTTGGTAGGCCTGGTGCTTTTTGGATAAGGTTGATGTTAAATCCATAAATTTAGAACAATAAATGCAGTAGAGTGGGCAAAAATAGTGTTCTAACTTTTTGAGTTTATAATCTAACTATATCAGTAAATAAATTATAGACAAATAAATTTGAATGGATAATTTGATTATTTTATTTAAAAGCCATTTGGCTTTGTGACCTTTGGGCCACCATATTATGAAGTTTTCAAAAAAAAGGGAGTGTGCATTAGAATTAAGGGCTTTACCTGTAATGTTTGGAAACTGAAAATCATTTCTTTGTGGAATTAAAATTAGGTTAATTCATATACAGAGGCTGGTTTTTTTCATGCAACAAATTCGAATTTGAGTCATAAAAATCAATTGTCCTGCTTCTCATAATAATGAAATCTAGTAAGTTTTAGCACTTCAGCATGCTATTTTTATGTAGCTGAGTGGTTTCGAATACAGCGATAAGACTTGTAACAATCCATAAGTCCAAACATTCAGGTGCTGTTTTACTAGACATCCGTTGAATGATCAGGAAGTATTAAAATAATCTGAAGCCTATGTTGTCTTTCTAGCTATTATTAGCTGTTTGGAAAGATCTAGATTCTCTTTTATCTGCAGCTACCTTAAAGTACGAGTTGGCAGTTAAACATTTAAGTATATTTGAAGATACCATTCTGCTCACATAAAATAGAAAAAGAAAACACGGCAACACAAGTTTATGAAATCCGACTATTTGAAAGCTGTATCTTCTGAGCATGTGAACCTTGACCTTGCGGCTCCACAAGAAACTTTCATAAATCAGAAAATGTAAAGCTATGTTTCCCACCTACATACAGATACTTCTCTTCACTTACCTGCACACTACAAATGCGTTCAGTTTTTTGGTAAAGTTATAGAAAGGGAAAATAATTCATATGAGTATGTCATAAAACACAGGACTCTTTTTACTCTACTGTAATATACTTAATTTGAAAGCTCTGTAATTGATCTAATTCAAACTACTTTCTCATGTCTTTTCAGAAGAGATTTCAGTGAAGCCCTCAGTCACTTCCCAAACCACCTATTTTCCTATCTTTCTTCTCGATTTGAAATACAGTAGTCCGAGCTTCATAATACGCTGGCCAGAAACCATATCACTGTGGACATTCTTGCTACTGCAACAGGTGGTTGTCAGTTTCTTAAGTTGCTTTCCTTTCCCCTGAGGTGGTGTTATTTCCGGTACATTCCAAAGACTGAAAAAAATGTCCATGGTCTCCTGCCAGGCCAAATCATGACTCCGGCCTCAAAGCTGTTGAGAAGCCATTGTCTCCAGGCTTTTTATTATGCAGGCAAATTGTGTATGTCTTTCTGTAATTCCTATTTGTAGGAACTAAAATAGTCATTAAGAGTTTTGCAAAACCGAAACTGAAAATGGAAATGATTTTTGTTCAGAAGCAAACACTCTGGATGTCTGAGAGTTGGGTTGATTATATTCCTGGCAAACCTGATGTGAGAAGGTTGTCATCATCCATTTAGACCACCCTGAAGGTTGACACGCATATAAACAAAACAGACCTTGATAACTTGCTGTCTACCTGCTAACGTTTCTCCTACAAGTGAAGGGCTCTGCATGCACCCTATAGCTAACCTTTTTATTGCAGAACATAAGGCAGGAAGAAATACCGGTTGAAAGGAGATGATCAACCCATTGCTTATTTCTATAGTTGTCTCTCTCTCTGTACATTGCACCCTGGCTTCACCAAGTAAAACCCGAGCCAGCCACACTAGGAATCAGTCATGATCAGCGCACACACACCCATTAGAACTGTGACAAGGCAACAAGAAGATGAGATTGCTCTAACCAACCTTTTGGAAGTTTCTCAGTCCCGCTGAAGGCAACCAAAGTCAGAATATGTACCAGTGGAATGTTGACAAGTTCTCTCATGGTTAATCCAGGCTCACTCAGCAGGAGAAAGTTCTTGCTGGAGAACACGAGGAAAATGCCCCCTGCCCACAGTTTACATTTTAAGGCGTAGTTTGTTACAAAAGGGTCGTCTGCTAATGACTGTTTGTGTCAGCAGCTCCACAGGCTCTAAGTATAATCAGGAATTCTCAGCCTTGGCTGTAATGATGGACACGGCCAGCTGGTGCATATCCACTGAGGCCAGTAATGCAAGTGTAGGGCTGGAGGAACAAGGGAAAGAAAATCCCTGCAGAATCCCTTTTAAGACAGTGGCAGAAGGACAATACCAGATGCCTCTGCAGCCATCCCCGTATTCCCTGAGGTACAGGTCCCTGATCTGATTCAGCTCACCACCTCCCCCACCCCACCCTGCACTCATACCAGAACTTTGGATGTATCTAACTGTGACTCCGCCCCATCTCTAGGCCACCTCCCAGGTCCAACCCATTACCAATTCCTACAGATTATACCAATGTAATACTCCTTGATTTCTTCCCCTCCGCAGAGTCCAACTAGTGTCACTCTATCCCAACCTCCTTTTCAGACATTCGTTTTCTCTGAATGGCAGTAACAGCCTCCAGGCTGTTCTCTCTGCCTTGTGCCTTACCATCCCCTAATCGCTTCCCAGATAGCCTCTCCTGCTCAAAAACCTTCAATGTTTCCTCGTCACATAAACACATATTCAAACCTCTTTAATATGACATAGAAGGCCTTCCAGGACTCAGCCTATCTCATTAGCTTCTATTCTGATAGAAGTTTCCTGTATATAGGTTTCTTGCTCCCATGAATTGTTTATGTTGTTCCACCCTCTTAGAATGCTTTTCTCTCCTCTCCATCCAGTTAATACTTGTCCCAGCTTGATCATCATCTCCTCCGGGAGCCATCCCAGACCAAAAATCCCACATCTTCCCAGAATTAGTTAGGTTTGTCTCCCCGGGCTTCTATAATGTGTTGTGCATGTGTCTCTCATTGTATTTACAGTACTGCTTTAAGATTTTACCCCTTGCGTTGGTGGGTCCCCATTCTTTGGCCTCCTGAGTCCACTGAATCGGCAGCTGTGGGCTGTTAGCAAATCATACTTCTAAACGTTCTCCTATGTGAACTGTCTTCCCACTGAACCGCGTGTCTTGGAGACTTCTGTGTTAATATATACCGCACTACCCCACTGTTTCTATTAGCCACGTCATCTTTTCAATCATGGATGTATGGTGGTATATATAACAACACCCCAGCAGGTACGAGAACCCGTTTGCCCACACTCTCATCAACACTAACAGTGTTACATTTAACTAGGATAAAAACCATTTGATTGTTTTAATGAACATTTATTTCACTGAGTACTAGGAGTAATGAGAATTCTTCACGTATTTGTCATTAGTCATTTTCCTCTTCTGTGGCTTTTGTCTGTTTTCCTTTTAGGCCATGTTTCTTTTTATTATTAATTTAGAGGATTTTTTTAATACTCTGAATATAAATAATTTGTATCCTTTGTCATATATTTTGCAAATATTTTCTACATAGAACACCTCTATTACCTAGCCATAATGACTGGGTCTGAAAATGGGCTTATGACTCAAGCTAGCCAGTCCAAGGCCTCCCTAGTCTTTTACTGGACCTAATGCAAAATAAGTTCTTTCTTCTTAAATCTGACCTTTGAGGACCAGGTAAGCCAGGGCTGCTGGAAGCTTTTTTGCTCCAGTAATAAGAAATAATGTGCAAGCCAGACTACCCACTGGATTTCCTTGTTTTTTAACTTAATTAATTCTTTTTACTTTTCTGGCTTGGTGAATATGAATTTGACTTATTAAACTGTAATCAAAAGAATCCTAGGGTAACTTTATTAGAAGAGATATAGATTTGATCAGATTTCTGCTCTGAGACAATCCTGCAGGTGCCATATATTTCAGGGGAAACTTAGTCATTAGCAGGATGAGCACATTTTTTACATGAGATTTTGGAATCGGCAGGATGAACAGTATAGCTACTCATCATTCCCATAAGTAGCAGTAGGTAAAATGCAGGGTTCTGGGAACTTGGGCGGTGTATAGATTGGTGAGCTAACATTCAGCTCAGGGTCAGTGCCAGCCATCAGTGAACGGAAGTCCAAAGTGAGCCACTCCATGGGGCTCTTCATTCACACGTCTAAGAGGAGGATCTGTGAGCATGTATTCTTCATTCTCTTTTCCCTTTCCACCAAAATACAGAACTAGTATTGATGATGCCCATTATGAATCCAATAGGATTCAAACCATTCACCCTGGAAAATTATCCCCTATTTCAAATTCCACCATGACCTCAGTCTCAAGGTGACCACAGTACTGTGCAAAGCTAAGGGGAGACAAAACCTATTGAGGGAAAATTCAAACCAGACTTTGAGGGTGAGTGCTGGTTCACAGTGAATCAGTCATTGGCTGAGAGAAGCCAGGGAAGAGTGTGGCCTGGGCCTGAACCTTGCAGCAGATCCTGAATTGTAGCAGCTAGAGGCTGCCCACCAGTCCTGTTCCTTGCAGCAGTCTCTTGGAACCCTGATACAGAATGACCTTCCATCCTACAATACAAACAAATCTATTCCTTCTAACAGCAGGCCCATTCAACCGCAGAGAGGAGAGACTGGGTGCCAGCCAGTTATTTGATTTCTTTCTGGGCATGTCGAGAGCATGGGATGCTGTCCAGTCTTCCCTTTAATAAAATACACTCGGCCACCAATTAAGTTTGCCTCATCACCTCTGGTATCTTTGTTTCCCCATCTCAGCAGCCTGCCAAGACTCCTGGGCTCAGGGAGCCTAGGACTCAAGTAGTCTCAGAGAGTAGGTAGTACCATTCTGAGCCACATCTTTCAGCTGTAGAATCAGCACATCACCGGGTTAGTGCTTCTGGTCTGCACCATGCTGCCATGCATTTGGTGAAGCTGGCAAAGGTCCACTTCTAATTTATGAAAAGCAATGACCTAATTCTCTGTCTCACTGGTCATAAATGCCACATGGATTGCCCTTTCCCGAAAACTGGGGGAGTCAAAGAAATGTTTTAGGGTTGTATTTTTTTAAAAATGGATGGAATGTTTCATTAAATATTAGGATAGAGATTAGAGGAGCTTCAATATTTTGGGGGTCTATACCCTATAAAATTGGGAGGGAATCCCACTGGAGCTGCATGGTGGAACCTCAGGAAACTTGGCAAAAGTTCTGGGAGAAGGAGATGGGAGCCTTTGGGAAGAATGAAGCTCAGATGAATGGCTCATCTGTCTGCCATCAAGGTCTTACCAAAAAAAAAATAGCAAAGCTCTGAGGCATGCTCCCAGCACTTCCAGGCAGGCATGATGGACCGGAAGACCTGCCTGGGCCAAGACCCCAGATTGCTGCCCCTTATGGCCACCCCACTGTCCCCATAGCAGAACCTTTGACTTTCTTCCTTCCCTTTCTGGAAAAGATTTCTTCTTGGGGCTGGAGTGCAAGCCCCGCTTCAGACCAATAGGCAGAGATTGCCTGAGATAACCTTGGCAATTATGCCATTATGTCTCTTTACTTGAAGATAAATATATTTTTAATGAAATAGTTCAAATACACAGAACATAAATGCCTATGTAACCACCACTCATAATAAATGTTATGATACCTAAAAAAAGAAAAAAAAATTGGGAGGGAATCCTGAAAGGAAATGTTCAATGAATGAATGAATGATATTGAATACCTACTGTATGCTGGGCATTGAGCAATAAACAATAGTTCAGACATATGAGTAGGTTTAAGCTGGTTTAGGAGTTACCTTAGGAATATAGCCTATGACCTGGGGACATTTATGTAGTTAAGCCCATGTCTCAGAGTGGAGATGAGTTCTGAGCCCATTGATACTGCACATGAGGGACAGTGTGGTTATACTAGTATGGACGGAGAGCAAACAATGGATTTGAGACAAACAAGAAAAGGATTTGGTCATAAAAGCAAGATGAATACTAGATTTCCAACTTGAACAATTGAGTGGAGTCTGGCTGCTGGAGCCTGGCATCCCTGCAGAGACCTGGAGAGCCCTGGGGAGGGTGAGCTGGCAAGGGGGTGGTGGTCAGGGGAAGAAAACTGAGTGAATGTAGAAAGTGGAGTATTTAATTATATGCTGGCAGGAACTTCCAAAAGGAAATTTTGTCTACTGAAAGGGTCAGTATATATCCTGTATGTCTTGGGCTGCTGTCTGGGTCATAAAACAAAACTGATGGCCCTCTCAGATAGAACACAGGGAGATGTACAAAGGGGTAAGGTGTTGGGCAACCACAAGAATTGGGGCAGAAAATGTGAACCACTAGCAGCTGCTCTTTGCCATCTCGAGGACTGAGGTCAAAGGGGCAGAATATCAGTTACTGGAACCTAGAGGCAGAGATGACTGTTGAGAAAGCTTCCTAATAGGAGCTAAGACCTTTCATTGAGGGATTTGGCCAGCTCATGAGGATGGCTTGCTATCTGGCAGATTTTCACCATTAGGCAAACCCAATAGGAAACTGAAGGGTTAGAAGGCCCATCAACAGAGTTCAGACCAGTCAGTTTCCACAGGCCGTGAGTAGGGAAGAAGTGGTTCTGGAGGACAAATAGAACACCCAGCTGTCCTCTTTAAGGAGTTCCAGCTTTTCCTGGAACACAGCAGCAAATAAGAAAGGCGTGCCAGTACTCCCATTTGTTGCAACAATTACTTTTTGAATCATTCAATCAGTATGTCACATGTTCACTCACCTCTCTACTCTCTTTTAAGATTGACTACACTGCTTCTCTGTCATACCACCCCTTGTCTCTTTAAGTATATCTTTGATAACTCCAGTGTGTTACAGGGGCTTTTCCAAACTATGGCTCTGCTCCTCTGGCTTTTCCAGAGTATAGAGCAAAACTATTCTCTGAGACCTCTGAACTGTTGATCACATGCCTGAATTCAGTCCCTCTTCCTGGTTCATCCAGCCCCACTGGCAATATCAAGATATCATCTGAAAATCCTATGGAAAACTCAAATATGCCTATAGTTCAAAGACCCTGGAGTTCTCACAGATGGCTTAAATAGCACTGAGGGAAGAAGCTCTCTACCACTCCTACTGAGGCTGCCAATTTCATCAGCCACCTGCCAGAGAAAGCTGTGCAGTTGCTGTTACTCTTACAAGCTTCATCTCCGTTGCCTTAATCTGCTGCCACAGCCTCTCCAGACCCTTAATGCTGCAGCCAAAGGGATTTTTCTTTAAAGAAAGTATTCACTATACACCCATTAGAATGGCCAAAATCTGGGGTACTGACAACACCAAATGCTGGTGAGGATGTGGAGCAACGGGAGCTCTCATTTATTGCTGATGGAAATGCAAAATGGTGCGGCCACTATGGAAGACAGTTTGGCAGTATCTGACAAAACTAAACGTGCTCCTGTCATATGATTCAGAAATCACATCCTTGGTATTTACTTAAAGGAGTTGAAAACTTATTTCCCCACAGAAACCTGCACATGCATGTTTATAGCAGCTTTATTAATGATTGCCAAAGCTTGGAGGCAACTAGCCTGTCCTTCAGTAGGTGAATGGATGAAATAAACCGGCACATCCAGACAATGGAATATTATTCAGTGCTAAAAATAAATGAGCTATCAAGCAGGGAAAAGACACAGAGAAACTTAAGTGAATATTATTAAAAGAAAGAAGCCCATCGAAAAGGCTACATACTGTATGATTCCAAGTATATGACATTCTAGAAAAAGCAAAACTATGGAGACAGCAAAAAGATTAGTGGTTTCCAAGGGCAGGAAGGGAGGAGAGAAAGAGATGATTTTCGAGCAGTGAAAATTCTCTATATGATATAATAATGATATATATCATTGCACATTTGTTCAAACCCATAAAGTGTACAACACCATGAGTGAACCCTAAAGTACGTTATGGCCTTTGGGTGATCATAGTGTATCAGTGTAGGTTCATCTTTGCTAAAAATGTGCTATTCTGGTGAGTGATGTTGATAATAATGGGGGGTATGCATGTGTGGGGTAAGGAGTATATGGGAAATCTCTGTACCTCCTTCTCAATTTTGTTGTAATCCTTAAATTGCTCTAAAAAATCAAGTCTTATCAAAAATAATTTATAGCTTTGTGCAGTGGCATTATCAGAGCCAGTGATGTTTATCTGAGGTGTGATTATTGCTAATTGGAAAAAAAATTTAGAGTCAAGTACAGCAATGATATTCAGGTTTTCATTGAAGCTTTGTTTATATAAAAAGTTATGACAACTACAGACATCATTTTATGACCAAGTACAAATCATAAAAACATCTTTGCAGAGAAGGTATTATTCTGTCTACTGAAGTTTTTAACTCCATGTTTGAACCACTTCCTATGTTTGTGCGAGTCGGTGCCCGAAGGCAGGCCTCTTCTCTCCCTACAGATGCGGAGGACAGTGAACATGGACTCCCTCGTGAGCACGGACAGCCTATACGGATTAGTGACTTAAGCTCAGACAATCGGGCACCTTTGCTGGAACTTTGCATTTGGAGCAAGTGACACAAAGAAGGAGGGGGTGAGAATTCATGCCAGGAGTGGTGGCATTAAGTGTTCGTGGCAGTGGTGTCCAGAGCAGTGCGCAGCCGTGGCAGTGCCTCAGGAGTATCTGGTTTCTGGTGATGGCAGCGCTAGTGTCTGTGCCCAGTGCTCAGCAGCAGAGCTGTGTCATCCTGAGCAGGCTGTTCTTCTGTGAGATCTTGGCCGTATTGCTTGCCACCTGACGGCCTCTGGGTCCTGCCTGGCACTCCAACATTCCTAAGTATTCCATAAGCTATTCAGTCTCCTTCCAAAATATGCCTTTTCTCCCAGGTTAACCAGATCATTCTCTGTTGCTTGCAACAAGAAATGTCTCTTTTGCAGATAAGAAAATTAAAGCTCTGAAAGGTTAAGAAATGTGGCCAAAGATTTGTAACTAGTAGGTGACGGAGGCAGAGTTCTAATGTTATTTCCCCACAGAAACCTGCACATGCATGTTTATAGCAGCTTTATTAATGATTGCCAAAGCTTGGAGGCAACTAGCCTGTCCTTCAGTAGGTGAATGGATGAAATAAACCGGCACATCCAGACAATGGAATATTATTCAGTGCTAAAAATAAATGAGCTATCAAGCAGGGAAAAGACACAGAGAAACTTAAGTGAATATTATTAAAAGAAAGAAGCCCATCGAAAAGGCTACATACTGTATGATTCCAAGTATATGACATTCTAGAAAAAGCAAAACTATGGAGACAGCAAAAAGATTAGTGGTTTCCAAGGGCAGGAAGGGAGGAGAGAAAGAGATGATTTTCGAGCAGTGAAAATTCTCTATATGATATAATAATGATATATATCATTGCACATTTGTTCAAACCCATAAAGTGTACAACACCATGAGTGAACCCTAAAGTACGTTATGGCCTTTGGGTGATCATAGTGTATCAGTGTAGGTTCATCTTTGCTAAAAATGTGCTATTCTGGTGAGTGATGTTGATAATAATGGGGGGTATGCATGTGTGGGGTAAGGAGTATATGGGAAATCTCTGTACCTCCTTCTCAATTTTGTTGTAATCCTTAAATTGCTCTAAAAAATCAAGTCTTATCAAAAATAATTTATAGCTTTGTGCAGTGGCATTATCAGAGCCAGTGATGTTTATCTGAGGTGTGATTATTGCTAATTGGAAAAAAAATTTAGAGTCAAGTACAGCAATGATATTCAGGTTTTCATTGAAGCTTTGTTTATATAAAAAGTTATGACAACTACAGACATCATTTTATGACCAAGTACAAATCATAAAAACATCTTTGCAGAGAAGGTATTATTCTGTCTACTGAAGTTTTTAACTCCATGTTTGAACCACTTCCTATGTTTGTGCGAGTCGGTGCCCGAAGGCAGGCCTCTTCTCTCCCTACAGATGCGGAGGACAGTGAACATGGACTCCCTCGTGAGCACGGACAGCCTATACGGATTAGTGACTTAAGCTCAGACAATCGGGCACCTTTGCTGGAACTTTGCATTTGGAGCAAGTGACACAAAGAAGGAGGGGGTGAGAATTCATGCCAGGAGTGGTGGCATTAAGTGTTCGTGGCAGTGGTGTCCAGAGCAGTGCGCAGCCGTGGCAGTGCCTCAGGAGTATCTGGTTTCTGGTGATGGCAGCGCTAGTGTCTGTGCCCAGTGCTCAGCAGCAGAGCTGTGTCATCCTGAGCAGGCTGTTCTTCTGTGAGATCTTGGCCGTATTGCTTGCCACCTGACGGCCTCTGGGTCCTGCCTGGCACTCCAACATTCCTAAGTATTCCATAAGCTATTCAGTCTCCTTCCAAAATATGCCTTTTCTCCCAGGTTAACCAGATCATTCTCTGTTGCTTGCAACAAGAAATGTCTCTTTTGCAGATAAGAAAATTAAAGCTCTGAAAGGTTAAGAAATGTGGCCAAAGATTTGTAACTAGTAGGTGACGGAGGCAGAGTTCTAATGCAGGTCTCCGATTTCTGAGTAGAGTTTTTCCCCCAAACAACTGCATCTACACTGCAGATAGACACTTCCTATTATAAGTGGGTGTTTTATTGACCTGGTGATCTTACCTTGTCTGATGAGTACAATGAGAAATCTGGGAAGCAGCAAAAACAGCTATCCAGTGACTCTAGAAGGAGAATAGGGATCATTTTGACCTACTACATATGGGTGAGTTATCCAGATTTCTTCATAAAGTGGTGTGAACAGTCTTGACAAGGAGCCTGGGGTAGATGGGGACCCAGAAATGTATGCATATCTACTGATGAGATCAATCAGGGTCTAGTAGCACTTAGGCTAATAAACAAGGAGAGGCAGGAAGTACGTTTCCTTCTGTCTGGGACCAAGAGTAACTTCCTTCCCAGGCACAGCTGAGGTGTTTCTGAACTTCAAGGAGACCAGACAATTTATGCAGGGTTTTCATTCAAGCCACTTCCCCCCTTCTACTTCCCAGTGCCTTGTAAAAGAAAAAAGCCTCAAGATTTATTGCCTTCAAACTTAACCTCATCCCCCAAAATATCCCAGTTGTCTATGGAGATGTAGGAGGTAATAGCTATCCTGCAAGGGTGGGAGATGACGGCATCAGGAAATATTGATCCTAGAAATCTGAGCATTTCACCACTGAATGGCTATCATTTTTTTCATGCATTGTTCTACTCACAGGATTGTGAGTGGGAAACTTGATTACTGGATTTTATCTACTTAGCTTACTGTCATCAATACTGATTATGAACTTCTTGGGCACCTAGCCATCTTGGTGAATCAATAGCTAAGATGTTGGACAAGTACACAAGCGATGGAGAGGTTTGGGGGTTTATTTTCTTTTTAACAGAAAGGAGAGTGTATTTCCCCCACTACAGGGACCTCCATTTTACCTCAACCCTAGGCATGTAGCTTCAGTTCATGTAACCTTTTTATAGCTAAACATCTAGACACTAGGAGAGCGACCTATCATAGAGTTTCATTTTTACTTCAGCGTCTCCAACCAGGGTCTTACTACAGTTTTTAAAGAACAAAAATGGAAAGCCACAAGGTTAGCAGAACTATTGCTCTCTGAGACAGACAGTAGTCTACACTTAAGGTTAGCAAAATAAAATTCCCATAGTATTTTTGGAACTAGAAAAACTGAACTTGGAATGCATATACAAAAAGCAAAGATAATCAGGGAAAACTGTGGAAAAATAGTATAATGAGGGGTAATTTGCCTATGAAATGTTAAAACACATTGTAAAGCTATAATAATTGAAATAGTGTGGTAACAGGCTATAAATAGATAGGTCAGTGGAAGTTGAATACATGATACAGATGATACTTTAAATCGATGGGAAAAATGGCTTAATAAGCCCACGGGGTAGTTATCCAAAAAAATTAATTACATCTGTATCTCATGTATTACACCCAAATAAAAATTCAAATAAATCAAAAGTACTAGAAGAAAACATGAAAGTGAGTGTATATGTGTATGTACATATATATAACTTGCGGGAAGTATTTACCCCATACTTGCGGGAAAACATTTCTTATGACACAAAACTTAGAAGTCATATAAAGATAAATATATTTGATAACATAAAGTTTTAAAATCTGCCTGGGAAAACATATGCCCAAAGTTAAATATCAAAATGAAAAAAAACCTTGCTAAGCTAATAGATATCTCAGTATCTTCTTTGAATTATCCTCAACATACACAGAACTGGCCAGTTCTTTTTACTTGAAGTTCTTCTTCACTTGTTTTTTTTTGATAGTGTTCTTTCCTGGTTTTCTTCTTATTTTTTTGTTGTATAAAATTAATAAGAACCCTTTTCTTCTATGCAGAATTTAAATGTTGATTTTCCCAAAGTTAAATCCTTGGCATATACTCTGTATGCATACTTTGTACACATATTCTGAGTGGTTTTAACCATTTTACAGCATTAGACAATGTCTATCTATGTATGACTCCTACACCTGAATTAATCTCTCTCTTGGAAACACCTGTGTACATGGTCATCTACATGACTATCCCACAAGCAACTGAAAATCAACAGTGGAGATATAATATTATTAATCTTAAAAAACACTTAGTGTTCAACCAGAACTGATGATGAGATCAGAGAGGACAGAAAGCCTTCCAACTGCTTTCTGTCCCTGTCACAGCAAGAGGCTCCTTAAGACCAAATGCCATTTACAGGCTGTATTGCATAATGGCTTTCCTCTGCTCTCACTCAGCTAAAGTATTTCTGGAAACCAACAGGTCTCCAGACACTGGACTCATTTCCAAACACCTATAAGTGAAGGTGCCAGTGAGGAAGTCGGAGAATAAATGCTTCCTTTTATTGAGGAGTTCTATGAAAGCAACTACTTTAGAAGAATCACTGGCACATGGAGTATGTTCAATAAATAAGAGTTGTATAGAAATTCAGAACTTTTCAAGTAGACATGGCTCTAAGTTAACATAAAACATGATTCTCAATATTAAATGGATAAAAGAGTATGAGATGAAGAGGTAATCCTATGTGCTAGCTGTGTTTTCAAATAAGGTACCATCCATTGTTTCCTCCCCTTCCTGCCCCATCTCTATGTGTGAGAGAGATGTTCCTGTGGGGAGTTGTGAGAGAGAGCCTGGGAAGATAATATAATTTCAGAGCTGGTGAAATATGATTCCAACTTTTTTTCCCCAAGGTTCTCCAAGACCTAGAGCCTAAATTTCTACTGACCAAAGAGTCTGTCTTAATTTAAATGAATTTAAGATCCTAGTAC